CATTGGGTACCTTCAAATAGCACTGATGTCGAAGAAATGCCATGTAAATATACATAAACAACACTTTTTTCTGTAATTATATAGGCTGAGCTATGTGACTTCCTGCACACTCTAGTGGTGCCTTATTGACCACATAAATACACACAGCTATAGGGCACACTTCAATTTGATCTGGAGTGAACCCTTAACCAATGTATTTTCTCCACAACACTGTTCGCTAATATTTTTTTCTCATCTTTAAGAAATCATAAGCTGGTAATCTCAACTGCAGTCAAGGCAGGGAAACCTTTCCATTAACTTTTACAAACCAAGATCTGAGCTGCATATTTTGTGAGGAAAATGCAATGCTCAGCTCAGTGACAGATAATATTATGCACATATATTTAAACAAGATGGTCTTTAATTTGACCAAGTCTAAAAATAATCCTTTAATACCTGCTAATTTAAAGTCACACTTGGGAGTAAGCGTTGCCATCCCTCTGTGGGGCTACTAGGGCCAGGAAATGGAGCTCCCTTCTCCCTTTAGGATTTCCCACGCACCAGCTGACCTCTGTGACTCTCTGTGAGGAGAAAGCTGTTCTGCAAATGACCAAATTCTCATTTTCTATACCATGAGCAGATTTCACCCCACAGTTTGAGCTCCCACTGCTGCATGAGGAATTTCTGTCTTCCCAGATGTGCAGATGGCACCCTGGTCAGGGAGAAACAGGACTGTGCCATGGGATCCCTGGCAGCATGCACCCTCAGGCCATGGGTGCCTCCTGTGCCGGCAGCATCGCTGACTGGCAGGACACACCTGGGTCATGCCACTTGTGGACAGTAGGGCAGGTAGAGAAAGAGCCTGCCCAACTCATCTGGTTGCTGCATATGACCTACTTTTGCTCTGCCCCCTTGGCTACAAATCCAGATCAAGCATCCAATAAGATGCCTTGAGTTAAGGATGAAAATACTTCCCTTAAAAGAAAAAGTAGCTGGCCTGGAAATGCAGCTGATGCCAAGCTGAGGTTCTGCTCCTGTGTGTTTATTTACAAGCTTTGGACTGATTTCTTTAGGCTTTGAGTTTCTTTTTGTAACAGGAACAGGAATACTGACCAGGGCTGAGCCTAAGGCACAGTTCTGCCCAATCAGGGGAACTACCTGATTTTATCCAACTTTTCTCCATCGTAAGCTCTCGCAGTTACAAGAGAAATTTGTGTTTGTATCTGAAACTGCTCTTCCTTATACTTAGCCCTCTCTTCCATAGGAGACACTACCAATCCTGCTTCTCATGGATATCAGATAATGTGCAGTTGTACCTTGGACTATTAAACTGGTTTGGAGGAACGTACTAGTACTAAATACATGTGAAGAAGACCTGTACAACTTTAATTTGTCAGCAACTCTTTCTCCTACACCTATTTTCTGGTACAGTATTTAGAGATACTAGTAAGCATGCAATGCAGGATAAGCGGTATTTTGCTTGCCGTGCCATTCTAATACTATGTGTTGAAACATTTGTTGTGTAAAAATTTTGAATTGCAAAACTGTTAAGTTGAACAATTTCCATTTCCATGACAAAGTCTACTATAGATGAAGGTATGCTGGGAAAAAGAGCACTTTCACATTCAAATTAAAACATAGAACTGTTAATGATAGAAGTAGGCCTGACCATTTGGATTGCTTTTTGGAGGAATTAGAAAATTGACATGTGAAGAAAAGAATGTAAATGGTGCGTAAATTACATCATAGAGTACCTTAGAAAATATTGTTGTTATAACTGAATCAAACTGACAGGGAAATGAAGACTTGTTATTTGATTTTTCAGAGAATCTTACTGTTGCATAGCAAGCAAAAAGTGAATACTAAAGTAATTTATGCAATTGCAGCAAGTTGTTTAGTCAGGTGCAGGAGGGACTGTTGTTAGAACTTGTTTTACAAGCATTTAACATTTTCATTAATAATCTGAAAGAGAGGGTTCCCAGCATGCTAATTAAATGAAGAGATAATTCTAAACTGAAAGAAGTCACAGAGCATCAATGAGGACTGAGACATAATATAACAGGATTGAAAAAAGATAGAAAAATAAGAAAGAGAAAATGAGATTCAAACTTGGAAATGTGCAGTCAGAAGTATCTTAATAAAAACTGCCCTATACAGGAGAGAATTGAGTGAGAAATAAGCAAAGCAATAACACTGAAGGAATAAGTGAACTGGATATTGGTTGGCATGTGATGCAGAAGCTGCAAAGACTACTTTGATTCTGGGCTGCCTGTGAAGAAGTCTGTCCCTTGGAGAGTTTACAGCAACTTTTAGGAGCTCAAGGATAGAAGAAGTATCACACATTTATTTATGAGGAAAAAATTAAGAGGGTTGCGCTCAAGATCAGGCAAGTGGCAAGTGAGGTTGTGCTTAAAAAAATACATGTGTTTGAAGAATATAAAGACCAGAAGAAAACTAAGACTGGAAATTGGAATCTGGTAGAAAGTCTTCAGTGAGGAAAAGAACTAACATGATCTGGGATACTTAAAGCAACAGTTCAGTATATCACTAGAAAAGGTAGCAAGAAGAAATTTCTATCAGGCACGAGGATCGATGCAGTATAGCTTTTCCATCTCCTATATACTCCCTATGATTTCATCTAACAGTTGAGGCAGTAACTTCTATTTAACATGGGTTGAGCTTATTCCTGTATCTCACTGGAGTGAGTAAGATACAATGCTGCCATGAAATTTAAGCACACTGTAATATGAAATCAATGCATCCCGGTGCTTAGAGTTTTCCTGCTTTGACTGCAAGACTACAGCTTTACAGATGGTCCAACAATCCACTGCAACATTAAGATGCACTTTCTGTCTGTTTTTAAACACTGAAAATATAATTTGCTTGTGCACTACTCCCAATATTTTATGGTACATCTCTTCCATCTTTTCGTCTGTGTCATCTGATCTACTACTGATATTATATTATCTCTCACTAACACCCTTACCTCTCTGCTGTAGGTGCACAAATAACACACAGGAGTACTTGGGTAAAATCCTAGCAATTTAGGAGTCCCAGTTCCAATTTCAAAAGGAAGAGAGGTAAATCCTAACACCTGAATTTTGCTGTCAGCTCAGAAACAGGCCCTTTGCTATGTCCTGCTCCCTGCACTCTGGGGTTTTCCCCACTTTGTGTGCTCCAGAAGAGGAACACTGGCCAGATGACAGAGAGGATGAAAGACTGGGAAATGTGAGGTGGGTTTAGGGCTGGCTGGTTTAGGGCTAGGAGAGAAAAAAATGGGTGAAAATTTAAGAATGATGCATTAATTCTAAGCGATCCTGCAAGAGATAAAAGTTAAATGGTTCTCTAAAGCTCCGTGAGTCAAAAGATCCCCTTGACTTCAGTGGGATCCTTTAGCCACTAAGGATATAGTCCCGTGGCCATATTCTCTCTTTGGGCTCCCTTCTGTAACTGAACACATACCCTAATTTATGGACTGTCAGAATTGTCATATTTCTGGTCCCTCCTCTGAGTATTTCTGGGAACATTTCCCTTTGGTACAGGGTGCTGCAGTGAAACAACTCTTATTACTGTTTAAATTGTCTCTCAGCTGGTTTGGAGTACTGCGAACCACTGTTACAGGACTGAGGTTTGCATAAGTCACATGTAAGTAATATTGATATGGCCACAGGAGCTGAGAGGGAAGTTAGAGCAGATGTTCCTCACTAATCCTCTGTACTGCTATGCTGTGGGTGTAGGACTTCAGTGGACAGCAGCCTAGGCCAAAAGTGATAACAAAACATGTCCCACTAAACAGAGTGGCAGAGTAGCATAACTTTCCCCTGCGCAATTAGCAACTAAAGCATACAGTTTGTTACACAGCTTCCTGCACTTGAGCCTCCATGTGTAGAAAACATGCTGCAGATTCTATCTGCACCTTTATTTTTTTATCAGACAGTAACTACCACATATACCCTTTCTGCAATATATATCAACTGCACGTCACATCTCCAGAGCCTTCAGTACATCTGAGTACACACATGCATTTATACATCTCAGTGTACATCCATGAAGCAGCAAGGCCAGGCCAGAACTATGGAGGTTTTTTATGATGTGACATTAATTCATTTGTTATGGGTGCTCTTGAATACCATCTTTTTTTTTATTCCTCCTTCTTTCTTTTTAATTAAATTTCATTAACAAAGTGTTACCCTTTGATTATATTCTCAACCACAACTGACTCAGCATACTTCACCTGTTGAGGTGGGAAGTACCTAATTAGGATGCCAATCTTCTTTCATGTTATTTCTTTATAATAGGAGTAGTACTTCCAGTTGTGTTGGAGACATATGACTAGAGGCATTAGATGAACAGAAATACTCCTTAGAGAAGAATCACCATTAGCCATTGCCTTTCAAACCATATCATCTCACAGAGAGGTCTCTTTGCTACTTTTCAAAGAAGAAATCAAGGGACAGGTTCTCCAAGGCATTCAAGCAGAGGAACAGGGGTATCCATGCAACTGTATTCAGAGTTTGTGTACCTCATGAATTCATGGATCTTGCTCTGCATATACATCCACACACCAGAAGTAGCGAGTTGGTTCTTTGTGACAATAAATACCCTAGAATTAGCTGCCATGGGGATTCAGGTGTTGACAAGAATACGGATGGCTGGCTGAAGAGATCATTTAACCCTGCTAGTAATGAGCTCATTTGAAACAAGCTCCCTGCTACTAATTATCACTTGGTTCTGATTGATTCATCACCTGCTTTGGTTCTCCTATTTCATAAACAGAACATGAACTGCTGAGTTTAGGAAACTGCATAATTTGCAGGTTTTGGTAAAAACAGAACTGCCTTGATATTGTGTCAATTACTGCCAGACTGATTTTCTTTCCTTTAGTCCCTGTATGCGTGTGCATATATGCACATGTGTGAACATGTAATTATTTGTATCTGTGCATGGAATGCCTATATAATGTTTTAATAAAGAGAATTTATATATACACATTACACCAGAGGAATAAGAATTTTCCTTACCTATTTCAGTCATGGATATCCCCGGAGCTAATTGCCCATTGTTGAAAGAGCTATAGGTAAACAAGTTTGGTACAGAAGTGAGGTCGTAGATAGGTTCCTGCTTTATCTGTTTGATTCCAGTCATGTCTAACCCAGACTGGTCTGGGGAAGGCTGGGCAGAATCCACATAATAACCCTCAGACTTCGGCAGGTCGATGACGTGCCCATTTGAGTAGGTGCTGCCAGTTTCGTTATTCAGGTTGTTCAAGCCGTTGCTGATGCTGTTGCTGTAAACCCTGGCGAGGGCTTCTGCCTCGCCGCTCTGCTGCTGCCGCTGTTCCTGCAGTCGCTGCTGGTGCTTCTGCACTTCAGCATACAAGCTATCCCTCTGCTTTTTGGACATTCTTCCAAACTTCACAGCTGAAAAGCAAAGCACAGTGCAAACCATTGTAGTCTTTCATTTTTTCTTGATTCCCCTAAACCCCACCACTCTTTTGATATTTACTTTCAGCATTACTTTTGCTGTGGAAACTTGTCTTTTTCTGTGGAAATGAGAGAGGATGCAAAGCTTTACACCATATGCGTCTCACAAAGGAAAAAGTATTATGTGTTTGGATTTACAAGGTGGTGACAATGACTCCTATTTGACAGGAGGGCCTCAGTCAAGCAACTCACTTCACACTGTGAATGTTAAAAAGACCATGCATCCTTTTATATCTCTGTGTTCACCGAACAACAACCCAGAGCTGTATGAAACGTAGTCTGTAGATTCATATCCCATGTGATTTACCAACTTTTCACAAACCTTTAAACAGTGCACTAACAGGATTAGTACTCTGGATGAAAACAAGCCCTAAAGCCCTATTATCGCATCCTTTCAATGGGGTGTTATCTTCACACTTTTTAAAAAAAATCTTACAGGTTAGAGTTAGAACCTAGAGGAAAATAACAGATACAAAAGTAAACAGCACAAATGAATGTCATCTTTTCCACAGAGGAAAGTCTCAGGGATTTACACAATCAATTTACATAATCTCCATGCACAAATCCATGCATTCCTTCTGATGAGAAAGGGAGAAAAACATCAGAGTGCAAACCACTCTCCCCAGGAACAGGGTTCATTACGCTGAGATTGAAACTTTCAAAAATGACAGGCTGAGTGTGGTAGAACTAAGAGGAGTAAATCCACAGCCTTCATATACAGTGGATCATAGCTGATTATCTTCCCCCCATCTCTCCATAAATTCTGGCTTTCCAGTGGGCTAGATCTTGGGATCTCAGAGCAGAGGTAATTGTTAATTGTGCTCTAAAACAAATGAGGGATACGTTCAGCAGAATTTATCAGAGCACAGATAAGAGGACATTGCTCTGGAAATACTAATTTCTATGTATTATGAGGTGTATTTTCCAATGCTGAGTATTTTCAGTCCATCTGTAATTTGGTTCAATTCAGAATCATCACACTTATTAGCACACGGGCTTGGCTCTCATTTTAGCTACCCCGTAGTTCAGCTATAGCCCTCCAGAAGATTCTGAGCCTACACATGTGGATGAATGTGAAAATCTTCAGTCAGGAAAAAGAACAGAAAAGGAAGAGTGTAATATGAAAAGGCAGTGCCAGAATACCAGGGAGATGGCAGCCTTTTCAATTTATTTTCACTTTTTTACACTAAGATTTTTTTTTCTTGTTGCCAACCTCAGCTTACTTGTAGCCCTTCACACAGGCTGTAAGCTACCTCACATGAACAGAGCCTGCCCCTGGAATCATTCCACGGTGCACTGCACACCCTTATGGACAATATACAATGACAGTATTTTGGAAAATGTAACTGTGTATTTTCTTCAAATTTAGAGCCTCAGTAATAAAAACAAACACCCACTGTTTATTCTCATTATATATTCATTAATTGGGTTCTCCAGCTGCTGTCAATTAGCATCCTGCCTCCGCATGATAAAAATGAATCTGTTACATGGCTGAGAGGTAAAAATCACATTCAATTTCTCAGTTAAAAAAATCCATACAGCCTATTTTAAACTTGCAAGAGCTCTTAATATCGTTAAGTATAAACATCCTTACATAAACAATGAGAGAAGAAAGCGATGTTGCCAGAAGAATCAATCCCTTTGTCTGTATGCAGTGGTCCCTGAATTACAGGTTGGGAAGACAGTGCTGTTGGTCACATTAAAATGCTCCTGTGATACCTCAAATAATTGGAAGATATTACTTTTAGGAGGAAAGCATGTGCTGTTAAATTACTGAAATGTTACTACTTTAATCTCCTCCGTGAAGATTTGGGAGCTAAGGCATCAAGTAAGCTGCATGCTAGGACTAAAAAGAGTTCACGGATTAAAGGCTAGACTGAAAGGCCCCTCCCAGACTGATCAGCAAGTTGTTTCATTTAGGTGGGAAAAGACCTATTACAGTCCAAATTTAAAACAAATTTATAATCTGTGGACCATCTAAAGAAATAGCTCTTTAAGTAACTTCTACATCAATGTCTGTTAATTTCAAATGACACATTTTGTGTAAACTTTCTAAGACAGAAAACTGCTGCCAGGCAATCGAAATTAATATAACCTGCCTTCAAAACCAGCACAATTTCTTCTTATACTTCCTGACTATTTAAAATGTGTCTGTGAGCTGGAAATGCTCTGCACGAGCTGAGGTGAGTGGAGTGGGTCAGCTGTGGGCAGCCTGGCCCAAGCCTCCCACTGCCCGCAGCTGTGGTGTGGTGCACGTTCTCAGCCTGCCGATCATGGCTCATCACACCACAGCTTGGAAGGTGGAACGGAGCACTGCAAGGACCAAAGCATACAGCCATCAGATACACTGTGGAGCTTTCCTCTGGTGTAGTGTCCATTTTCTATGGACACTAAACTATGAAATGTTTCTTCTATAGACCCAGACACAGACAGGGAGCAATGCACAGGTAAAAGAAATGATTTTTTAGCAGTGCAAAATATTTGGTCAAGTGCTCTGAATAAAACAAACAGAAACCCCTAATGCTATCAAGGTGTAAATTTCTTCTTAACTGCCTGTTTACTGTCACAGACCTTTGGAGATCTCAAGGAAAGGGATGATTTCACACATCAATATTTAATGTTAAGATAAATGCTAATGTTTAATATAAGAGGTTAAACTTGAATATAAATCTGCCTCTCCAGAGGTGACCTTTTTGTGCTTTTTATCAGAACAACACATTTTGCTTCTGACTCTTTCTGTTCCAAACTAATACTGCTCTCCATTTTGTCATTTCCCCATCCTCCCCATGAAAATAGCCTCTTTTGTTACCTGAATGGCAAAGTGTCTCACAGTGCATGCATTACAAAGCAACGAGCTTCTCCTCTTTCTTTTTTCCAGAAATCTACAGGGAGTTTAAGTAAGTCAGCAGTGAAGAAGAGTTTCAAAGGGTTTAGGTGTGAAGCAGGAATCTGACTCCTTACCATCTCGAGACATTCCCAGGGCAAGACATTTCTGCAGTCGGCAGTGTTGGCAACGATTTCTGTTGGTTCTGTCAATTAAACAGTTTCTCTGCCTTGGGCAGGAGTAGGAGGCATTGTTCTGCTGACTCCTCCGAAAGAATCCCTAGGGGCAAGAGAGCAAGAAAGACAGAATATTACCATGTGCATATATGTGCATGCACACAGACACACACAGAGAACCATGTAAACAACTACAATAAACTCTTATTTAGTGCAATGCTACTTATGCTATGGCTTTGCACATGTGTTGGCCTTGTATAGTGAAACTACAGAACATTTACTTATAATAATGAGAACTGTGATTTATTCTGTAAAGAGTGTAATTCTACTTTGTTAAAATGCAGACAATAATGTTACAGAATGCATTCCTATTGTGCAATAACGACCATGTATCATCTAATGCTTGTTCCTAGTAGAGGAAAAGCCTGTCAGCATTTGTAAACAGATGACCTAAAAGTAGTTGTTCTGACTGTCTTCTTCCTTTAATGAAAAAGCCTGGTAATAACCAGCACTGGCTATGCATAGCATTAGAATCTGAAGTCTGCCATTCAATTTAACCTGGCAAATGTTGATCTGATCTGGAGGGACCATACACTTCAGGAGTGAAAAGTAATTCAAATTCAAGCATCACAAAAGCACTAGGATTTAATGACTGTATCAAGTAAAGCCAACACACAAAGGAGAAAGCAACACCTTTAGACACTACCATGAGAAAGTAATGACATTTTCCATTTCAATGCAATATACCATTATCTTTTTTATCTATGTAAAAATGTGTAGTTATTCTATCTCCTGGAAGGTTTTTGTGGCCAGTTGTGGGCCATTTGGCTAAAGATCAGAGAGCTAGAAGGAGAGTATTAAGCCATACCTACGGCCTTATGAGCTCCCAGCTGCTATAAACGACACTGAGAGGTACCGTTATGGTAGAAGTGACATGAAATGGCAGAGGTGACAAAGGGAATGAAACCAGGGGGTGAGGATTAGAGAGAGAAAGAGAGAGTGAAGAAGCATTTTATGATGTTCTTTTCTTTCCTGTAAAATAAAGGACAGGAGGAACAGCAAATCCAGAGAAAGAGAAAGATGAGAAGTTCCTTGGTCACTTTGGCATTTTAGACGTGGGCAGCTGCAGGGTTGTGTGGTGGGAGAGCTGAAGGACAGCCTAGCCACTGCAGGGAGTCATGAGGGCAGAAAACATCATTACTGCAGTTACACTAGTCACCAGAAGTGATGCCAAAGTGGTTGTGCCTTTCTGGGCTGGTTTGCAAACAGCTCTGAATGGAGCCAGAAAGCAAGAGCTGCCTTTGTTTATCAGGCAAAACCAGTGTTATATCCGCACAGGTTGACAGACAGTAATACTGAGCAATGGAAATCGTGGCAGCCATGTGTTTTGGGGGAATGAGAGTGGGGAAGCAACAAGGTGACAGTGTCATAGGGCTCAAATCGCTTGCTACAGTAGTGCCTGAATTCTCACTCAAGTCCTGGTAAACCCAATGAGGATGGTGTGGGGTGTCAGTAACAACGGGTGACAGGCACGGTGTCCCACCAAGGACACCGGCAGGGCTAGCTCCTGAGGTCGAGCATAAAGAGACTCGCTTCATCTGGCCCATGCTGGTTTTATCAGTGGTTTTATATATATATATATATATATCTCAATCATAGAATCATAGAATGCTTTGGGTTGGAAGGGACCTTGAGAGATCATCTAGCCCAACCCCCCTGCAGTGAGCAGGGATTGAACCTGGGACTTTGGCATTATTAGCACCACACTGTATATATGTATATATAAAAACTAAATTAAGTTCTATGATTTGCACTTTTGAGAACAAGGATGTCCATTAGGGGAACTCTCATATGTGGTGGGGACTTACCTGGTCCTGGCTGACCAAAACTTACCTGAAACTGTGGACATGAGTTTAATTTAAGGCTAAATGGACACTAATTGCAGATATTTCTACTCTATTTGCTGAACTTCACAGCTAGTTTTGTTTTTGACATGCAAAGGATTTTCTAGTTTAAAGGTTTAGTTTTTAGCAGCTCCTATGTGGATATGGATTTGAGAGAACAAATTAATTAAGTAACGTTTAAAAAACCTACACAACCATCTAGCATTGACTGTGCCTTATTCTGTAGTGCTGTTTTTTCCCATTAAGGTTGATTTCATGTCAGAAGAATTTGTTTGTTCTTTCTTTGCCCCTCTTAGGAAAAAATTAAGGGATACATAATAAAATTAATCTACAGCAGGTAATTTACTTTTCTGAGGAGACTTTGTACTCTCTCCTACATAAGATCTAAATGTTGTCTTACAAAGTACAGACAATCCTTTCATTTAATTTTTAGGGGAATTTATATATAATATTGGCTATATTTACTGAGAATAATTCCATTTGAGGGAAGGAGGATGCAGTTCACTATTGAGGAGCTGCAGACTTAAAGGCAGGTTTCCCAATATTCCCAACACTGACAACAAGTCTTTCTGCATCCTGAACAAGTCACTGTATCCATCATCGACAGTCAGTCTGAGAAGGGAAATGGTCATGTGAACTGTCTAAATCATGACAAAAGAAGGGTAGCAAATACTTTGCTCTGGGGGTAGGCAGGAGAGATGATAAAAGGCTTCTCAGCAAAAGAAGAGCCACAGAGACATGGGATGGAAACTTGTCTTCAGGTTTCACCCTTCAGTGATGACAGTGGCAGTCACCATTTTCTTCGATGGGCCCAGCACATTATTCAGCATGTGAAGGAGTGCACACGAGACAGCAGTAATATTTATGATGCCCCTTAAGCACTTATGTTGTGCATTTGCAGTGGCACAGCTAATGTAGGGACGCAGAGTTAAAGGATTTCCTGTCCCTTGAAGTTTGTAGCACCGCCACTGGCAGTACGATCCTCGGATGTTGTGTCCTGAATCGCTGCGGCTGTCTGATGCCTGGCTCAATGTGTGTGCATGCTTGTGGAGCGGTTCTCCCCTCTTTCTTCCACACATGGTCTCCCTCTTAATTAATTCAGGTTTCTAATGCATTTAGACAAAAGGAGCCAGAAATGACAAGTTATTAATATGCGGGCTGAGCAAATAGTTACTTAATTGCTGGGCAACGAAGAGCAGGGTTGCACTGCCCAAGACAGCGCTTACCTTAAAAGAGATCTCTGACAGACTGAGATGCCTCCCATTGGACCTGATGTGAAAACTGACATCTTTTTTCACAACAGGCTCAGAAAAAGAGATTAGACTAATTGATCTGATACTGCAAAACTGGCACAAAAACAATAGTTTTAAAATTGTCCTAAGAGGCAGAGAAGCTCTTTATCTCAATAAGCAGTCTACACACAGAACTGAGGGGTATCATCTCCTCTTGAGGCACACTCAAGGGCCAGAATTAACCCTAATCACAGCTACGGGAGACTCTACCCCTAACTGCTCTGTGGGTGCTGAGTACCAGGAGAAGACACTGTTTTTCTGCTTAAAGTGTTTTTCTCTGTAGCTTTTGTGCCAATGTTGAAGTATCAGATCAATTAATCTAATCCTGTTTCACATGGTCTTCATAATAAAATGCTTACTTCTAGTCCAGTGTCACCATAAGTCAGTGACAGACTGCAGGTTGTTCCGTTTACAGTTGTTAATGTTTCTGAAAGAAATCTGATCTTTGAAGCTATATTGCTTCTCAATGTGTTGGCATTAAAATCTTTCTTTTGGGAATGGGTGCACCCAAATTTTCAGATATTTCAGATGTTCTAAAATTTTGTGAAGTATTAAGTAAATACAGACTTGCTATTTCACTCTACAAATATGCACCCCACTTTCAAAAGTACCAGTTTGTATGTTTCTACATAGACGAAATCAGAGATGCTGCCTCTCCATCTTTGCAATTTCACATTTACAGTCAAAGCTGAAATACCAATATGTAGTATGAAATTCTGGTTTTCCATGAGTAATGATATAATTCCTTAGATAATAAAAACACAGAGCATTTTTAAAGTCGAAAACTGAAGCCTTTCTTCTCTTGGCTTGGGTTCTGATTTGTGTTATTTGAACTAATGCCTGGGATAATATGTTAATATGACTAAGCAGCATGGAAGGTTTGTTTGGTTTTTTTTTTTTTTTTTTTTTAACCTCCAATTCCCAACAATTGCCCTGTGCTGAAGCCTACAAGGAAGAAGACAAAGGGTCCTTTTACACTACTAATAATGTGAGGAATATTTTCTTTTGGAGATTACAATTTGACCTGCAGAGAATACAAAAGGGGTAAAATAGGACGAAACTGACACCTGTAGATGTTAAGATGTTGAACTGAGATACCACACCAACTTCTAATGATACACGGATTGTATAGGAAACAAGATAAGAAATCCATCTTTCAAGCTGATTTAAGGTAGACCAGGTGTGACTTACAGTTCCTAGCTTCTTTATCAGGACTTATACTGCATCAGATGCGATTAATTCATGTTTCAAACGAGGAGGTAATTCTAAAGACTATGTGATGAAAAAGAAGGCAACTAGTAAAATTAGGCATGAAATGCATCTATATCATCAGCAGGCTTTACAGCCTTTGGCACCACTTGCTTGAAAGCGTGTAAGAGTGTATTATTGTACACAGATGCCTGCGGCTAATGCAAATGCTGATGACTATGCTGTATTAAAAATCTCATACCTTGCAGCCTTCACATGTGATGACTCCATAGTGTATTCCAGAGGACTTATCACCACAAATTTTGCATGGTATCACTTCAATTTGCGCTGAAAAAGAAAACAAGACAAATATTTTGAGTACATAATTCTATTTAATTTCTTTGTTTCTCAAATAAAGATCTTAAAAACTAGAGCTAGACAGTAGATAACCTGTTCACCCACTTGACAATAAAAAACTGCTTTGTATTGTACTGTGTGTTTTTGAATGCTTTGATTTGGCAAATTTTAATTGCTTCACACTCTGTAGTTTCTACCACACCCCACAATACTCTTCAAGAATGTAAGGTATCTCATGATTGGCAAGTTTTCCCTCATATTCTCCTTTTTTTACTTGTTAATTTCATCATCATTATTGCTATGAGGAAATTGGGGGACAGTCATTGAGGTCCTAAATAATCATCTAGATTGTTCTTGCTCACACATTTCAAATATTTATGACTTTTCGTTTTGCTGAGGTAGAATTACATGGTGTATTTTGATGAATTTTTCAAAGCGGTAGAGGTGATGAAGTTTTCACAGCCTTCAGATTATAGCTTCAAGACACACAAAGATACCAATCCCACTGGCAGAGATGGGCTTGCAAATGATTGCTTAACCTCTCCTTCTCTTCAAGCTATTTGTTTCAGCACCAGGTCATGGGCAGGCAAAGCCCACAGGCTGAGTTTAAGTAGCCAGTGGCTGTGTGCTGGGAGAGGCTGGTACTATCTGAAAACGTTTGAATCTAGATATGCTTCAGATCTGTTTATAAATGTAATTGTTATTTAATTCAGAGAAGGAAAACATATTTTGCTATCTTCCATGCATTTTTTTCTTTTGCTTCCCTCAACTACTTTGAATCCTGTGTGTATTTCCTTTGACAATGCTGTAAGAGTGCATACTCTGAAATGTAGGGAAGCATTGTGCCTTTATTCTAGTCAGATACATTGAGAAGAAATAGAAAACCTATTTTCTTTCCCTTTCATTTATTTTCCTGTGTGCGATGCATGCCTCTCTGCAATTCTTCTGCCACTTGGAAATAACATCACACTTGGTAAGGATCAGTACTCCTGGTAGATGTCTTTCCTCCATTCCCAGGGCAACAACAACAGCAATTCTCTGCAACACAAGTCACTCATCAAATGCTTGAGTAGCAAAGCTGAGAGCTTGTGTAGTATGGCTACCTTGAGCACAAGGATTGCTAACCATTAGTACTTTAACTGGACATACACAACTCCAAAACGGATTGGGAGACAGGGAAACAAGATGATTGCCCAAAAGCTCATCCTAAGAAAAGCATCCCATTTCAAACCTGTGGGCAGTTAAAAAGGTTATAAATGCTGCAAAAAAAGGTACTTAAAAATGACTGCACATTGTAAGCTAAGCACTAAGCGTGCTTGTACGGTGGATGCTGTGACAATGTAATGATATAGTCTGGATTTTGCCCCATTTCTACCTATGGTTATCATTTATCACTCTTAGCAGAAGCAAAGAGTTTCCTAGGAGTTGCCTTCCTACCACCATGTGGTTAAACAACCAACTCATAACTGCGTCTGGTGGAGCCACCACACTTCCCACTGAAAGGTGCATTGCATCCCCTACTCCCCTAGCCCCCTACTTAGGGTAGAGGCATCCCAAGGTAAACTCTGCAAGGTGAATGCTAGCAGGCTCTCTTTCTGGAAAGTCAGGTAACTATGCCCTTGGGATGCCACGTCCCAAAGGAACCAGGGAAGAGAGATGTTCATGGATGGCTAAAGAGACTTTAGTTCCCCAGTGTGAGCTCATTTTCCTGAGATGCTGTCTCTGATCAAGTGCATTTTTAGGCATAGCTTAGGCAAGCAAACCAGTTTTTAAACTGCTCCTTATCCAGGATCAATAGAATTAATTTTTATTGCAGAAAATAGAAATTTGTTCTTAACATGTTCTGGATGGAGATAACCCAGAACCAAAATCTTGCCTGCTTTTGTACTTAAGAAAGTTCATATCTAGAAATACAAATTCCTGTGTCATCCACAATTTTTCGGTTAGCTTCTGTATCCTGTTTTGTTTTCATGAACTAGGTGGTGGTAGTTTCTTTCCCTTCTCAAGAAATTAATATGCATTAGCCATCCTGGCATAATAGCTGCATAAAAGAGAAGGCAATTCCTTACAGAAAAGCATCTGTAGTTCCTTGGCAATTTTGCCAGGTTGATCCCGCTCAAAAATTCCTATGCCTTATACCCACTGAGGTAATTAAAACATTTAAACATGCACCTCCAGGTACTGCTGTTTGAGAGACTAGTTTGAGTAATTGCTCACAGGTCTCTGCTTGAGATCACATGGAGGGAGCAAGGCTCAGCTCTGGGACCACATGCTGATTTATGTTGACAAGCCTCAAAGACATATGTCAATGTCAGAGGCAGGAACTACAGTGGGAATGTGAAGACACCTTCAGAAAAAGACAAGACAAAGGGAGAACCCCCTGCCCCAAACTATATGAAGCTACTTTTAATGTGACTTGCATGTACAGTTTGTAACTGTGATAGGAACAGAGACAGAATTGATCCTGCGACACTCATTGCATTTAGTACAGTACTCATTACAGTAAGCAATCAATAATTCCATGCATAACTTGCAATTATAAGCACTACGTTCATGGTAAATATTTGTGGACCGGGTCACTAAATGCTAAGGCTCCGGGTTTCAATTAATATGAAATACATTCTTTAGATGTACAACTCAACAGTTAATTCAAACCCTTATTCAAAACTAACCATTCTATAAATTAGTAAATACAGGATGTCTAGGAAATTGCTACCATGGGTCCTTAGAGAGCTCACAGAAAAGGCAGCATCTCTAGGACACAGAAGGCATTTGAAGAAGTTTGGAAAAGTAGACTCTGCTACTGTTTCCTAGGCATTTCTTTTTGTTCATAAGACAGGAGAACAATTTAAGGATTTGTAATAGAAAGCTTGAATCTTTAAATGTACAGGCCAGATGAAAAAGAAGCCACTGTATTCCCAGCAACATCTTGAATTACTGTAATTAACACCTAGTGTACCAGGTTTCTTTTGCAGTTTTAATGATTGTCAGAGGCTACTACACCTTTTTTACATTGTATCTTTGTTCAGCTGCCTGTAATTTTGTTGTTTTTCTTCTTCCCTTCTCCTTTTAGACCAACAAACAATTTAGGGACCTGTATATCCTACCTCTCTTTACAGCTATTATAAAATAAGCAGCTCACTTCTGAATTCCTTACAAGTATAAAATGCATTGATTCAGTACCACTTCCTGAATATTGAGGCAAAAATGGAATGAACTAATAATAGTGGAGTTGACACAATGATAACTTGCAGCAGCACAGGAACAGAACTTATTTTCTCCCAATGTAGTAAACATGAGGAAGGATATAAGAGCAAAACTACTTATCTCCACTTTTAAACTCCTTCCACTTGCCTTCTTATCCATCAAATTTAACAATGTGAATAAGAATAATGGCTCCTGCCTCTTTTCAAGCAATAACACAGGTCTCAACTGTCCATTTGTCCAATTTTTCAACAAGCACATTCAGTTTTCATCCTGTCTTGAGACTTATCAGTCGATAAAAGCCTGAAAAACCACCGTCACCCTGGTGTCTAACAAAACATTTATAATGTTTGGATACAAACATTGTGGTGCATTGTAGTTGCTCCTTATCACCAACAGTACCTTCTCTCATGAGTACCACAGGGTCATCCTGTCTCTCTGTGGTATTCACCTCTTATTTTATACTTAAGTTTAAAATTCTTTGGGGCTGGGAACTGCCTCTAGTTTTATATGGCACCCTACAAATTAGAATGCTGCAATGGAAATGAATGAATTCTACATGATTAGTAATAACCATCCACAGATGCTGGGTTTACCACCTGGAACCTAATTCATTTTCTTGGGACAACAGGAAGAATGGTGGAATTCTATTAAGGAAGCAAATACAAAATAATCTCACACATTTGGAATGAACACTCGGATAAAAACAAATATGTACTTAAAACCACCTTCAAACCAAGCATTAGCCATTTTCTCAAATGCTGCCCCAAGAGGAATAAAAAAGTATGTTGAACTGCTTTTTTTCTCTTTTTTAACCAGAAAAGAATTTGCTCACGGGCACAAATTTTATTATCCTAAAAGCAGGCCAATAATCAGGTTTCAAGAATTGTTATATTGGTGAAATTAGGAATAAATCTGGAAGGAGATACACAGAATTTGCTGAATTCTTCTTGAAACAAAGATAAGAGTCAACAAGGCAGCTAATGTGTCCATTGTGTATTTGTGAGGACTGCCACTCACATGCATATGTTCTCTAACAAGAAAAAAGCAAAGCTCACGTTGTATATAATCTCAGTTTAACATCTGAGGAACTTCATTCAGGAGAGACAGGACTATAATCTCCCAGACCTGGTTCCAAGGGGAAAAAAGACTAGAGCTTTCAATATTTAGTTCTTGATCAAAAGAGGATACTAAAGCATGCTGGACATGAACTTTGAAGAGGAAGTCCTCTCTCTAATTTGTTGATCCAGGAGGGATTGCACTTGGAAACATCAAGGCTAATCAGAGAACTGATATCAAAAAAGCAGCTCCTTCACCTTCCAAGAATTCCCATCATCCTTAAGCTGGAGTTCTTTGAAAAATGCTAGTAGATTGGCCCAGTTCACTTTCATGTTTGTATCCCTAAGTGATTTCAAATTAAATATATTCAGCATTTTTATCTAGTTGCCAACTCTGCTTTTTTTATCCTAACTTCTGTGAGTAAGAGAAGCTTTTTTCCTTGTATGTTACCATCAATAGAAGTTTCCACTATAAGTTAGGCTGCCAACTAGATCTTGGTATCCCCTTTGCCACTGGATTAGATATTCTGTGGTGTCACAGCAAGACTTCAGGTGCTTTGCATTTGTATTTAATAATTTGAAAATATACAGCTGAGGATACTAGTTATGTTTTCCAGCCTCTGTTGTACCTCATGCAGTGAGAGCTACATAGTTAGCAATATCTCAGCAAGCTAATTAATGCCAGCTAATGTTAATTAATGTGTCTGTAGATACATTTGCTGTCAGCCATACCCCAAATGAGCCATTAGAG